AGACTTTCATGTTGCAACTTTATTCTTGCCCTCCTGTGTTAACTTCTTATTCCTATAACAAAATACCTGGGATTAGCAGCTTATAAAGAGGAAAAGTTTATTTTGGCTCACAGTTTTGAAGATTTAAGTCCATGGTAGGTTGGCCCTGTTGCTTTGGGGTCTCTGGCAAGGTAGCACATCATGCTAAGAAATGTGGGGAAGAGCAAAGCTCTTTACCTCATGACCAGATCATGAAAGAGAGAAAGAGATTGGGGTCTATGGTCCTCTTTAAAGACACATCCACATGACTGGAAGACCTTCCACCTCTTAAAGTTTCTACTGCCTCCCAATAGTGCCAAGATGGGGACTAAGCCTTTAACACATGGGCCTTTGAGTGATATTCCAAATGATAGCACTGCTTCATGTCTGCACCTCAGTGATCAGAAGGTGCAGTCAGCAGTCATAGCACAGATGCTGAAATTTGGAGGACTAAGTCCTTTTTGCACAAACTGGATCCTGCAAGCTGCATGAACATTGCTTCAGGAACACATGCTACCTGCCATGGGGATGGGGGATGGATATATCCTATTGTTCTGAGAGTTGTGATTGACTGAAATTTACTGTCCAAGCCTTTCCCTGGAAGTTGCATGCCCTCAATAGACCCTAGAGTTTCAAAATAATTACATCAGATAGATTCTGCTTGTGCAATTTCTGACTAGGGAATAGATTTCTGGTGGTTCCACCATCTTCCCAGAATTCTCTCTTCTTCTGAATTTTGTGAAGAGAGCATAAAAGCATCTTTACACAAAATTTCTTTATTTTTTCCTTTCAATCCCTATAGTAACTAAGGCAAGTATGTACTATTGGGGAGGAAGGGCACATTGATTGGATATTTAAAGTAATGGCTGGTAACTGTGGATACCAGGGAGGGACCCTGATGTTGAGATGGGATCCAGTTGTTATTTGAGTGCCTTGATCATTGGATGAGGCAAATCAGGTAGGCAGATATGTTATCTTTCATAGCACTTTGTCATGGAAGTTTGCTCCCCATTGTGACTGGGCAAGATTGAACATAAATTGGGTGTAGCAGAGGCTGCTTCCTATGTGAGAAAGGAAGAAGAAAAGATGGGGGGTTGGGATTGAAGCTGAATAAAACTGTTGGCAGGTGGAGATAAAAAGGAGATGCAAAAAGGCTGAGAAGACTTTATGTGGGACACATTCTTTGGTCGGTAGGAGGCCTTCTCACTAGGCACTTAGATTGCCATCTTCCTTTCACAGTTAAAGACATTTAAAATGAGATGAGGTAGAGGATTAATTTAGTAAAGATGGTAGTATGATTTTCAGATCTATTTTCTGATACAAAGTGGAGACAAAGGGAAATTTTCTAGAAAATGTTTGGGACTAATTGGTTCTAGACCTAACAATCTTTGACTACAAACAAATTATTTATTATGCCTAAGTGTCAATCCTGGCCCTTATGCAATGAGATTGTAGGGAAAAATTAAGATAATGGCTATAAAATATTTCAAAAAATTTACTGTTATATAAATGTAAGAAAGAATTACCATTCTATAATGTTAAAGCATTTAAGAGCTGTTGCTAAATGAGAATTTCTCATAAGAAAAAGTTTCACTAAAATCATGATGAAAACTAGTAGAAAGATTTACTACAAAATTTCAGTAAGCAACATTGATACTAGCTTGTTGAGCAGTTAGGTTCATGTGAATTTGAAGTAGGTGCAGACCATTTAATTGTCATAGACCCTACAGGTACCAACCTTTAAACATTTTCAGATCCCTGTTCTACTTAGTGTGTTTATGATGCTGGTTAAATTCAGTACATTTGTTTTGTAAGAAGCTGAACAGAATGTTTTCCTAAAAAAGATGATAGTCTGTTTATCTAGGTCCTCCAAAAGCATTTCCTGCCAGGCAGTTGACATGCAGCCCTGGCACAACTTCAAGAAACTATTTTCTTCTGTTTACCCTTTCCAGGATAACAGCATCTCCCAGGAATTGAGATGAGGGATCTCCTTTAACTCTTTCAAATTGTAGAAATACATTTATGTAACATTCCCCAATTACTCTTTTTTTTTTTTTTTTACTAAAGAGAGAGTGAGAGAGCCAGAGAGAGAGAGAATTTTAATATTTATTTTTTATTTTTCGGCGGACACAACATCTTTGTTGGTATGTGGTGCTGAGGATCGAACCCGGGCCGCACGCATGCCAGGTGAGCGCGCTACCACTTGAGCCACATCCCCAGCCCCCCCAATTACTCTTTATGTTAGAACAATGAAAATGCTTGTCTTTAATTTATGCTTGTCATAAATTACTTTGTTTTAGTAATTTGCTAGTAGAAAAGTTAGAGCCTTAAAGTGAGATAGTCCAATAAAATGTATTCAGAAGAATATTCCTTTCTCATAAGGCTGTTCAGGTCTTTCAGGAAACTAACTGCAGCTATATCTGAAGATACATAACCTGGCAATTATGGGGTAGTTGTCCACAATTCCAAAATCCTGTTTCACCAGGAGGAAGAACCCACCATTGGGTTTCTTCAGAAGAGTATCTTCTACTTAATTCACTTATAATATTTTCTTTTATATAACATTTCTGAAATATTTTGTGAAGGGGTGTTGATACTATATTTGTAAAATAAATTACTCAAAATTTTCACTCCTTTTATGGAACCAATTTGTTTCTAGATGTTTTAATACCATTATACAGTTAGAAATGCAAAAGTGTATTATAGCTTTATGTTAATCCCAGATCGCATGTTATTTTAATAAGTATAAATGTATCTTTGAGAAAATGTAGTGGAAAATATACTAATTTAAAGATAGGAGGGGCTGGGGCTGTAGCTCAGTGGTAGAGCGCTTGCCTCGCATGTGTGAGGCACTGGGTTTGATCCTCAGCACCACATAAAAATAAATAAAGATATTATTTTAAAAAATGATGGGAAACTTGACATGTAAAAATTTAAATAGATGCATATACTACAATTAGTTGTGAGCAAATTTATATATTCTTTGTGTAATATTGTTAAATAAACAAATAATTTCTTAATTCTTTTGTCCTTCCAGAATGATCTAAAAAAGATTCCATGATTCTGGCCAGCCTTAGAACTATAGGCAGCAGCATCAGGGGAAACAGGACCAGAGCTCTAACAAGATGGAAATGAACGGCATGGAAAGAGGTGGCAAGAGAATGAACTTAGTCTGTGATCAGGCATCAGCCAGGGATTCTGGAGCCAGTTAAGGGTTTCAGATTAGGAGCATATCAATGACCCAGGATCAGAACAAGCCTTTGGATCAGAGCCAAGTGACCTCTGAATGACAAGGAACTGGGAAAGCAACAGGTTAGAGACAAAAAGTAGAGGAGATTGTCACACAAATACCAATGAGATAGGTAGGTAGAGTAGAGTGAGTAAATGTCCACAATTTAGACTCTCACATTTTAGGTCTACCATTAGAACCTGTCCCTTTAGAATCTCTTTACAATATAGCTATCTCACTTCTCACCCACCATCCCACTCTTCATGAGGTTTCAGACTTAGTTGGAAGATATTGTGTCTTTCACACACAGATACTGAAGGCTTACAACATGAATGGCTCCCTGCTTTAAGGGTCAGAGGTCAATATCTTGCTGAATGAGGCCTTGAGAGTTCTGACTGTAGTTAAAAGGGCAAAAGATTCAGCAAACCCAAGGTCACACTAGTACCACACAAAAAAAGGTTATCTTGGCCTTATGAATAGGTGACTTTGGTCTGTTTTAGGACTTATCTCTGTCTCAGAATCATGTTGACTTCTAGATTGCCTGGCCTTATAATTCCAATCACTGAGTGACTGCTTTAACTCAGTCCTGTGAATCTAACAATTTTTAGGACTTCTAGCTACATATTCTAGAGGAACAAAGAACAGGAAATCCAGAGTCAGGATGAAACCAGCAGATTGACTGAGACAGTCCTTTCTGTAAGTTAGTAAACCAGTGTCCTCTTAGGAAATGAGCTCATCCCCACCCTCCCTGCAGTGCCTGTCATGGAGGAAGCTCTTAGTAAACATTGGTTGAATATTGAATTAGAAGCTCTACAAATAATGAAAGTAACTGAATGAGAGAAGGAGTGAGGGAGACTTTCCCAGCCTAGGCACAGAGCCTGAATATGGCTTTCAGATGTGAGATGGAACTCAGGATTGTTCTAGAGGTTAACTAAGGTATGAGGTAATTCTTGACCTACCCAAGGATACAGAAACATTCCAGTCAGCACTGGAGAAGAACTAGGTACCTTCATTCTTAGACTAATGCTACATACACTAAACAAATGGTTTGCTAGAACAAAGCTTAAGTCAGCCAAAAATTTTTATTAATATAAAGTTTGAGTAAGTGAAATTTTGAAGATGATGGAATCTAATTGACAACTTCCGTACAACTTAACCTTCAGATAATCTCCCTTTTTAAAGTGCTCATTATAGTAGTGATTATACAGTAAAAAAAGCCTGTGATGAAAATATGGTATAAGATTGTTCTTTGTTGAGCAAGTTAAAACAGGCTGGTCTGTAAGCAATTATTATCTTCATCAAAATTCCTAGCTCTAATGTTTTGGCTGCAGTGGCCCAGCACGTATGCCTTCTCAAACAATTGGATGGATTTAAAACACTTAAGAGATGTTTGTGCTTATATCTTAACATAGCATCAGTTCAACAGGAAAAAGAAAAAAAATGTAAGATTTGGCATTAAGGCTTAGTTTAGAAAAGAAAATCGAACCAAAACTAAAGTAAACAAAAACCTGAAACGTCTAATCCCTGCATATAAACGAGAACTCTTGATTCAGCCTGGTAGAACACAGGGATATCTTTCTTTTCCCTACTCTTTGATCAGTTAATATTTCTGGAAAAAATTATCACAGAGTTGGCATGCCAGTGGGTTACCCACTATCAGCATTTTTATATGGGTGATACATTCTAAAGAGATTTTTTTTTTTTGTCATTTTTTTGGTTTTATGTTTATCCCAAACAACAACAAAAAAATGTGTTCTGTATTCTGTGGAAACTGTTCAGGTACCTGTTTGGATGAGGAGATGATTTAAAACTGAATTAGCTTTTCAAATTCTGAGTTTACGCATATGCAAAAGACTATGAAGAATGTGCTTTGGATAAGATTGGGAAAGTTTGGTTTAAAAATCATACTCTTTTAAGATTAAAATAACCACAGATGAATTTTGAAACTTATGTACTACTGATTTAGGATTCTGGTTACATTTTATACTTAGTTAGAAATTACATTGTCAAATATTTATACTGTAAATTCATTTAAAGTTACTATAATTCAACACCTATTTTGGAGTTAACAATCATTTGCTAGATGTTGAGGATGAAGCTCAGGCCAACAGATGACTATTCCATGTCTTCAAGAGGCTCACAGTAAGCAATCTACAGATTGGGTCATGGTAAACAATTCTTGTGAACAAGTGTTA